CAAACACGGCACCACTGTTATCGCTGAGGCACCATATTCCCCAGATCTGGCGCCGTGCGACTTTTTCTTGTTCCTGAAACTCAAATTGGCGTTTCGTGGTAAGCGTTTTGAGTCGATTGAATCGGTAAAAGAGAATTCGCTGAAGGAACTAAAAGCCATACCTTCACGGGCCTACGAAAAGTGTATGGAAGATTGGCAAGTCTCTTGTTAAAGGCTTTTGCTGACATCACTGCTACAATCCATCAAATATCATATTTTCACAATTAATATGTCTTACGTCTTTGACTACAATATTTTCTAGTCTCCAAAATGTTTATACACTTCATAATTAGTCTGAGGGATGGAGAGAATAGTGTTGTTGTTTTGCTTACAACTTCAAGACTTTAAGCAAATGACTTATTGTTTTTCGCCGCACTTCGTAATTATTGTTTTTTACGAAATGCACTTATTATATTTTATTGAGTAATAAATAACTATCCGCCTTATTGATAGACTCAAAAAGTCGATGAAATTTTACAACTACTGGAACAATACCGACAGGCAAGCTTCCAGGAGAAAGCAGAACCACTTAACATCAAACACAAGATAACAAAGACGAAACGATTTCAAACCATTTTTGAAGATTATTGTTATAGACGATGAAAAATATTCTAAATACGATAATATCCACTGCAAGCTATCATGGTCTAAACCCGAACTCTACAAACGACGTCCAATCCTGCATTAACGGCAAACTAGTTAATGTTGTGTGTTTAGCGGAATTGGAAGGGACTTGTCTAGCTGCTCCAGCCTATTGCAACGATTAATTTGGTGCTTTAATGCTCACAACTCGACCGCTTAAGTATCAGAATCAAGAAAGAACAGCCAGAATTAACCAACAGAACCGAAGTTGTGTGCCGTCATGACAATGCCAGGTCTTACAAATTTTTGATGACTCGAAAGAGATTGACGGAATTTGCCACCCTTCTATATTCAATATGCAGCCTTGCTTCTTATTGATATGAAAGAGTTGTGACCATTTGAAAGTAGGGTCATAGCGCATTTTATAGAGCGCAGTTCTCAGTTTGGGTTACTTTTACTTAAATGGGTGTTGTACACATTTTCTTCAATATTCTCTTGTGCTGAGTACTTTGATTTTTATTTATATTATGGTGGTCCTCTTAGTATAGCGTTTCTGTATGGTATCACAATGCATACGAATTTTGAGTTTCGAATACTTCGAGTACGAAGTTGTGACCCACTTCAGTACAAATCTCAATATGGAATTGTGACCCACTTGAGTACAAATCTCAAGTGGGTCACAACTACGTATTCAAAGTATTCAAAATTCGAAATTAGTAACTAATAAAGAACCATACTCAACGTTGACTAACTCTTTTATTCCCAAAAGTAATTTATTCACGTACCAGGAAGCTTTAAAATATCAGAATCGATTTGCCAAGTATTCGTTTTTCTGTGTTTGACTTTTTCAAGAGTTATATTGCGCTAAAACTAAAAGATTCCTGACATCATCTTTAGATATAAAATATCGTCATCAAAGAGATTCTGTTTAGAACATGAATAGTATGGACTTCTGCTAAGGTCAATAGTTCGTAGTCTTTCATAGTAGAATATCTCAATTTTGCCAGACCTGTTTATTTACAAAAGAAGTGTTCAATTATTTATTTTTTCTCTTTTATCTTGCAACTATTACACTTCTGGTTGAAGAGAAAACTAAATATTTTGTTTTGGATGCAAGTTTCCTCAGCAACTTTCCTAGTTCGATTTTAGCTCTTTGGAATAGAGTTTTCGTTCTCGACACATTATAGTCTTGTCATGTTAGTTTGGATTTTTCATATGTCATCTTAGCATTCCATTTATGTTCTACTAATTTTAAATAATTAATGTGGATATGATTTTGAGTCAATTTTACTGCGATCAGTACTTCTTTTTCTCATGAAACATAAATACTGATTCTCTTCTGAAAAACAAATTTAGATCACATTGTTGTTTTTCATTTATGTTCCATCAATATGAGAAGATAACTTTCGATCAATTTTGCAGCACCTTTTAATGAGACCAGTATTTGTTCTTCTGCAAAGAATGCTTCTGGTCATGATCCAGGTATTTCTCCAAGTATTCATTTCTGTCTATTTTGGGTGCTCTAGAACTTAGTCAATTATATTGTGTATTCAGTAATCAATAAGATTACTTGAATTTTGCATTGCTCAACTCGCTTTCTTTTTGCACTAGGGTTATTAGCTTTATATATTTATAAATCATTGATTCTGAATTATTGTTTCTTACATATTAAAATCACTATTCTACAAATGTAGTATAAGACCTTCTATTTTAAAGCTTTATACACCGTCAAACCAGCCGTCATTGGAGAGGTGTGTCCGACTTCATAACACATTAATATGTACTAAAGCACACCCTCTTCGGAAAGATTCATTCCCCCTGGAACTTCGGGAAGGGTCTCTTTCGCCAATATAACGTTCTACTAGTTATTCGCAGTTTAAATACATTTCACTTTTGAATAACATTCGCTCTGTTTAACATGTCATTATTATATATGATTATTTTTATTATTTATAATTATGTGCATAATTTTTAATATACATGAATGATAATAAATTATATTGTTTTACTTTTCCATTTTTATTAAATTATTTACTTTTGATTTAACTTCATTGTTATTCACAAATTGTGCTCAATAACTTAAAATTTTTAATAAAAAAGTTTTTCCTATACTAACATATACTTTTCCATAAATATTTTTTCAATTTAATAGATTTTGATCAAGATGGGTTTATTGGTCATGGTGACCTTATGTCGTGCCTCACAACGATGACTAAAAACGAGCTGAGTCCTGAGGAGCAGCAGCAAATTGCTGATAAAGTTATTGAAGAGGCCGATGTGGATGGCGATGGCAAGTTATCCTTTTTGGAATTTGAGCATGTCATCTTACGTGCACCTGACTTTCTATCGACATTTCATATAAGAATATAAATGCAAATAAAATATTTTTCAATATTTGTGTTTTCATTGCTTTCGATATGAGTAGATAGAACGTAACATTTAAAATAAAATCAGAATCAATTTTGGTTATTGTTCTGCTTGAAGTGCATAAGTGCATAAAATTGCATTGCTTCCATTGATGCAGTAAGGAGCAATGTCAACATTGGGTAAAGTTTTTAAATTGCAAAATAATAAAAAATATTATTTGGACGCATCAGTTGCATGTTTGCTCCTGCAATTTCCTTGCATCTGTGGTCGTAACTGCCTTGCATTTTCAGTCCTTCCCATAGTTGGTTGTGGTCATGTTTGCTCGCATACCGCAAATCATTTACATTACTTTGGTTTTGCTCAGAGATTTATATTAAATACCTTTGCGATATTTGCAAATTACAAGTGTACACTGTACATATTTTCAACATTGATAAATATTAATTAATTTTCTCTGCTTCATTTAAGCCTATCACATATAATTTATTGTAAGTTAACAATTTTGGAAATTGCTTCAGTAAATAAAATTATTGCTGGAGCAAAATAATTCAGAGTGAATGTATTTATGCAGATAACAGATTTTCACTGAAATAGTGATAAAAAATTGTGATTTATTTCAGATATCTACATTATTTAAGATATATATCTATTCAAGTTTGCAGTTCCCAGATTTATACGAATATAACATATTGTATTACTGATAAAATCTAGTAAAAATATATATTGTATCCTTGTCCAGTATTTTGAATACTTTTAAGATTTATTATACTTATTAATATGGATTTAATATGTTTGAACTCCATGTCAAACACTTCGTATCCGCTATATACTAATACCACGATTTGCGTTGATTCGATTGCATCCCCAAAAATATGCTTTGGCTTCGATTTGCGTCGTTTTTTAATACATGCGTACAGAGGGAATTCCCACTTCATTCCTTGTAGGAGACATTTTCTAAAAGGGGACTTACATGTATTAAGTTTTTAGTTAAAAGGTGTCAGTTTACATTTGTGTGGTAAAGTTGAAGGGTAAATCCTTGGAAGAAAAGTTAGACACGTTAAAACGTTTTAAACTAAAAGAAAAATCTGCTCACATTAATAGAATTCTGGGCTTAGCTCCAACTACTGTACGAACAATTTATTATCGTGATGCGGACAAGATAAAGGACTATGGAAAAGCTGCCATATATTTGCAGGTCAAAGAAATTACAAAAACTAGACGTCTATTTAGTTTAATAATGGACTCCATTTGGATAAAAAATCAGACTTAAAGGTTCTGTCGATATTCGATGAGTTAAAAAGTAATTCTCCATCAACAAGTCAAAAACCAGAATATATTTGGCAATTAAATATGTGGAGAAATGTGTTTCGATTCGGATTGTTTCGATTTGCGTCGCATTTTGTCGGTCCCAATTAACGACGCAAATCAGGGTATTATTAAACTGACTTTAAACCAAGTGCTTATTTTTATAAAACTCAGGAAATAATTAGGACAAAACGGTAGTGTGTATTATTGTCTCTTTAAGTTCCGCGAATCCGTTAATGCACTACACTGCCACAGAACGTATAAGTGCATTGTGGCGGATATAACATCAATACAGCATTTACTCCAAAATTGAATTTAAAAAGTTGAAAGCCTCATAAAATAAAATACAATACACCTTATACTATTAGGACTTAAGTACATAAATGATATGAATCAAAGAAAACTTGAAGTGAATATGAAATCTATTGTTATTTTTGTAGAAAGTGTTGTAAATGAACCTAAAGAAATTTAGAATACCACCACATTTAATAACATCTATTGCTTTTATAATTTAAACTCATGCGATTCAATACTCGTACTGTACTAAACTAGTATCCTGTCAATCGCAAGGGACGAACAAATAAGATGTGCGAAAAT